TAGACACAATGCAGTCTCGATGCTCTTGATGAATAAAGCTGAATATTCTTGCGTGCCGATATGTAATGATAAGCGTACAATATGATGATCTGTGTTTGTGTTATGGGCACGAGAGCGTGGCGTGCTGCTGACGAGAGGATCAATTATTCATCGCCTTTAAGAGTGTACAAATGTGCAGTGTAGAGATTTGTCTCGGATTCAGACGTGGTCCAGCATAGAGGTCAGTGTTTCCCAGTGGGTCTCCTCTGACTCAGCGCTCATGAATATTCATTAGTGCAGCGACGCTAAGAGCCACTCACAACCTGCTGCTGAGAATACATTATTGATGGCGGATCCAGTGTCTAAACAACCCACACAGATTATTCGACTACAAGTTCACTACACTTTTAGTAGGCATTGAATGAAGACCGGTTTAACGTTTACATGGGATTGGAAAAGTCAAGGTTTTAAAACAGCTAAAATCACAACTAATTTATTTAGGTTTTTTTAGGGTAACAATATTTCCAGCAGAAAAGGATCCTCAACATTAAAATAAACTAGTCAGCTCACTATTCAGGAAACATTTCTGAAAGAAATCACCTATAAACCAACATGCAAACATGCTGTAGAGCTGAAGAGTGTCTCCACAAAAAAGACTGTAAGAATGGTTTTAAGCACAGCGGTTTGAACTGTAGTTCTGCCGAGCGACTAAAAAGTGATCAGCATGATGGTAAAAAACTGTACATTTCTAGTCAAACCATTCTTCTGCAATCTCATACCAAAAACGGAAATAAGGGCAGTATTAATAGCTATAAATGTGGGAGAGCGCTGATATTATGTGATTGTATTGTATTGCAATATGGAACAATTAAATGTTGACGTTAAATCAAAAGTTATTCACAAATTTTTGAAAATGAGATGATTTAATGACAATAATTCTCTATGGTTACAACTGAATTAATTACAAAATAACTGTATAAAATAATAAAATATGAAATGATAAAACATATGATATAAATTGTACCCAGCTTAAATGTAAAATTAAAGTTACCAGAGGAGGAAGGAGAGAAACAGGGGGAGGGAGAGAGAGACAAAGAGAGCAGGCTCAGAAGTTAGCATCATTGCAGTAGAGTCAGAGAAGACAGACTCCAGAGGAGGAGAGAAGAAGGGCAGGAAAAGAGACAGAGCCAGAGTTTAACACCTATTTTGTATCTTTCTTGACCATGTGACTAAAGCCCAAATGCTGAGACATTCAAACTGACCAATCAACATGTGACCACACCATAAACCCCCAAAGTCCACACAACAGGCCCTGATCTTATCAGTATCTGCCTTTGTAGTCAGTATGGACCTTCTTGAGTCATAAAGACATGTTTTGTCATAGAAACAAATGCATATGATCATTTAGCCTCTTACAAGACTAATACAAGCAGAGCTTTGGATTTTAATAATGCATAATAATAATAATAGAATGCATGATAATAAGTAATACTTAATATTAAAAATAATAATAGCAATAATATTAATTAAGGGTGGCGCAGTGGCACAGTGAGTAGCACTGTCGCCTCACAGCAGGAAGATCGCTGGTTCAAGGGCCGGCTGAGCTAGTTGGTATTTCTGTGTGGAGTTTGCATGTTCTCCCCGTGTTGGCGTGGGTTTCCTCCAGGTGCTCGGGTTTCCCTTACAGTCCAAACACATGGGCTTTAGGGGAATTGGTTAAGGTAAATTATCCATAGTGAATGAGAGTTTATGGGTGCCTTAAACATATGCTGGAATAATTGGTGGTTCATTCTGCTGTGGTGACCCCTGATGGATAAAGGGATTAAGCCGAAAATAAAATAAATGAATGAATAATAATCAATTGTGCAATGCATGTTAATTTAATTATGCATTAGTAAGTTTTGAATTATGATTAATGTCACGATTACATGCACTATCACCTGGACTACAATTCTTCCACCATATGAACTACAACTCCCACACACACACACACACACACACACACACACACACACACACACACACACACACAGCTGGGAGCTGCTCCAGAATTGATCACTCAGACTATATAAACTTCTCAGTTTTACACAACCCAGGCTCATTCTGGAAATGTAGCCCTGCGGACGTTTCTGGAGGCCACGAAATACGTCCCGGGAGGTGTGTATTTGTGCAGATTTTGTTTTCACGAATCCGCACCGCGCTGTTCACGCTCGCACTGTTCTCGCGTAAAAAGCCACCGTAGGCTGCTGTCGAGCGACCGTCTGTCCGACTGACTGAATGAATGACTGAACGATTGACTGGGCGGATAGCCAATCGGCCGACCCTGCCACCCTCCTCCTCCTACCCTAAACCCAAGTGACGATTTACAAAAGCCGAACAAAAAAAGAAAAGCCCTCGTCCGATTTTGACCGCGTTTTCGTATTTCACCACATTCTCGGCCCGTTACGAATTCATTCCCTTTATTTTCTGGATTCTGTTTTTTGTCTTATCTGATTTCTGGAACCGCTCTTCCACAGACTCGAACCTGGTCATCGAATGCGGCTGGCTCCTCCTCCTCCGGGCCTCCGCTCCGCCTTCGTAACACGGCGAACTAACCGGACAAACTGGTTGCGGCGGGAACGCCCTTTACACGAAGGAGGTGAGCCATCAGCCGGCAAGCGCGAAGAGGAGCGGCGTCACACGGCATCGTATCGTTCACTTGAAAAAAACTAAATGCAGCCATATGTATCTCCGGCCACGTAAATCGCGGTCTCCAGAAACGTACGCAGGGCTACATTTTCAGAATGAGCTTGGGTTGGTTTTACACTCACATTGCTGAGTCTTGTTGGTTTTCACCCTTTAACATCACAAAGCAAGTTTCCTTGTTTTGTCTGCTTTTGTTTGACCCTTGCCTTGTTCTTTTATTTACGTTGTCTGCATCGACCATTTGCCTGTGACCTGACTACGCTTCGGGATTCTCTTGTATGTACCTGTTTGCTCCTGTGTCTGACCATTGCCTGCCTGACTACTTCTTATTAAAACTGCACGTGGATCCCCAACTCAGTTGTCCAGCATCATTGACAATTAACAAATGCTGTATCCAAAATGAATCTTAGTTCAAATTAATAAATACATGAACTAATGCAAACTTACTATAAATTCTGACCTGTGTTTTACAGAATATTCATTCATTCATTCATTTCCTTTTTGGCTTAGTCCCTTTATTCATCTGTGGTCACCACAGCGGAATGAACCGCCAACTTATCCAGCATATGTTTTATGCAGCGGATGCCCTTCCAGCTGCAACCTATCATTGGAAAACATCCATACACTTCCATACACACTCATACACTACGGCCAATTTAGTTAATCAATTCCCCTATAGTGCATGTGTTTGGACTGTGGGGGAAACCGGAGCACCCCGAGTAAACCCACGCCAGCACAGGGAGAACATGCAAACTCCACACAGAAACACCAACTGACCCAGTCGGGACTCGAACCAGCGACCGTCTTGCTGTGAGGCCATGAGCTAACCACTGAGCCACCATGCCACCCTGGTTCCAACATTATTCATTCATTCATTTTCTTTTCATCTTACTCCCTTTGTTAATTAGGGGTCGCCACAGTGGAATGAACCGCCAACTTATCCAGCACATTTTTTACACAGCAGATGCCCTTCCAGCCGCAACCCATCTCTGGGAAACATCCACACACACACACTCATTCACACTCAAATGTAACCCCACCAGTTCTACGCCACCCAAACTGCTCCGAGCTGGCATTGAACCGGCGACCTTCCGCATGGGAGTCGGTTGCTCTACCAAGGAAGCTAAAGACCATGGCCTCTAGCATCAGTCACTAGAGCACCTTTAGAGGTCAGAGGAGTGAGGTTTACCTGCACAGCACACACTAGCTGGCCTCCGCTACACATACACTACAGACAATTTAGCCTACCCAATTCACCTGTACCGCATGTCTTTGGAAACCAGAGCACCGGGAGGAAACCCACGTAGCTGCAGGGAGAACATGCAAACTACACACAGAAACGCCAACTGTGTCAGCCGAGGCTCGAACCAGCACTACCTACTGCGCCACTGCGTCGCCTGTTCCAATATTAATGATTTGTATATTAGATTGTTTGCACTTTTTGAGTTTATGTTTTGTTTGCTGAAGCTATCGTCCGTGTGTGGTGGTTCAGATGAAGTGTGCTGCTTGTATGTTTTGTTTAGTTGTCTGTTAGTTTTGATGTGTTGTAGTTGTGTTTGATTTATTCTTAGGGACCTCCTCGAAAATGAGATGGTTCATCATAAGGGGCTATCCCATTTAATCAAGTCAAGAACTGAGGCTCATTCTGATTACGTAACCCTATATGCATTTCTGGACAGCGACAAATACGTCCCAGGAGCTACGTCTTTCGCAATTTTTGTTTTCGCGAAGCCGATGGCCGATGTGTACGCTTTTTTAGTTCTCAAATTTCTTTCGAGTGCCATTCACGCCTGCTGTTCTCTTGTAAATCCACCAGAGGCTGCTATCGACTGACTGACTGACTGACCGATCAACTGACCCACCCACCACCTTCCCTAAACCCAACCGATAGTGTTTTCAAAAGCAATCAAAAAATAAATAAAAGCCCTTACCTGATTTTAACCATGTTTTCAGATTTTACCACATTCTCACACTTGTTTATTTTATTTTTTAATAAACCGTTCTTCACTAGACTGAAACCCCTTCATCACGGTCAACTCCACTCCACGTCACAAGTCCGTCGAGGAAAGTGGCGAGCTACTAGACTAACTGGTAACAGTGGTAAATCTGTCCATACGAAGGTAAGCAGTGAGCTTGTAAGCATGAAAAGGAACAGTGCCACTGCTCCATAGCGTTCGTTTTAAAGATGAAATGCAGCCATACGTACTTCTGGCTACATAATTTGCGCTCTCCAGAAATGTATACGGAGCTACGTTTTCAAAATGAGCCTGTGCTGCAACAATGTAATGCAACAAGAACCCGCAAAAACAAAACAAAAGCATCACAGCGCTACTCACCTTCAAGAACTTCATCCGGCTTTTTGCGTTTCTCGTACACCACGATAATGACCACGAGGATGATGATTTCTGCCAGGACGCCCAGAAAGGGCCAGAGCGGGGCCAGATGACTGCGCACACGCAGGATGGTGCTGGAGTTTGTGAAGCCGATGATGTTGGAGGCGTTGCAGAAATACTCGCCCGGGTCTGTGCGGATGTCCAGATCCAGAATGCTCAGCTCGGTGAAGTTCTCTCTGTTCACGATGAAGAAGCGCCCTGTGCTGTTGTCAATGTCCTACAACAAGACAGGATTCAGAATAAATAGTAGGATATACAGTTGAAGTCAATATTATTTACCCTCTTGTGGATTTCTTTCTCAAATATTTCCCAAATGATGTTGAACAGATTCAGGAATTTTTCCACAGTATTTCCTATAATATTTGTTCTTCTGGAGAAAGTCTTGTTTGTTTGTTTTCGGCTAGTTTTTAACTGTTTTAAAGCCATTTTAAGGTCAATATTATTAGCCCCCTTAAGCAATATTTGTTTTTGGATTGTCTTCAGAACAAAACCACTAAAACACCCTAACTTGTCACCCTGACTTGCATAATTAATCTAAGTAACCTAGTTAAGTCTTAGAATTGCACTTTACGCTGAGTATAAATTGTCGTATATACTTCCTTTAAAATGTATGGGGTCAAAATGACTTTTTTTTTTAAAATAAATAGTTATTTTTATTCAGCTAATGTGTGTAAGAATCACAGCAAAGACATAATAATGTTACATTTCTATGTCATAAAAGATTCAGTTTTAGTTTATACTCCTTGTAGTCTATGCTGACTATCTTCAGCAGCTCAAACACTCTAATGGCTCTGGGAAAAGGAACCGGCCCCTTACAAACTGAATTAGGACTGGATATGGGAAAGTGGACATTAGCTTATACACTATAAACGGATCCACAAGGCTTAAGGCATACACAGAATGAAATAGTTACCTACTCCTTACTGCATTGTGAAATTCAAATTGTGTGGGGACACATTCAGTTGAAGTCAGAATTATTTAGAATTTTTCTTTCTTTTTTAGATATTTCTCAAATGATGTTTAACAGAGCAAGGAAATGTTCACAGTATGTCTGATAATATTTTTTCTTCTGGTGAAAGTCTTATTTGTTTTATTTCGGCTAAAATAAAAGCAGTTTTTAATTTTTTAAACACCGTTTTAGGGACAAAATTATTAGCCCCTTTAAGCTATTTCTTTTTTGATAGTCTACAGAACAAACCATCATTATACAATAACTTGCCTAATTACCCTAACCTGCCTAGTTAACCTAATTACCCTAGTGAAGCCTTTAAATGTCACTTTAAGCTGTATAGAAGTGTCTTGAAGAATATCTAGTCTAATATTATTTACTGTCATCATGACAAAGAGAAAATAAATCAGTTATTAGAGATGAGTTATTAAAACTGTTATGATTAGAAATCTGTTGAAGAAATCTGCTCTCCGTTAAACAGAAATTGCGGGAAAAATAAGAGGGGGTTTAATAATTCTGACTTCACTTGTATAAAGTCATGTGTTTTTATGACGTACCATGTAAGAATCTCTGCCCACTTTCTTGCGCCACGTCCACACGGGATGCGGGTATCCAGCAGATTTGCAGTACAGCGTCGCATTTTCTCCTTCTTTTTTATTCTCACTTCTTTTATGGCCTATGATTTCAGGACAAGCTGGAGAAACACAAAGTGGGAGAAAAAAACACATTTGTTTACGCTGTTTGTAACCTTCACTCATTCATTTATTTTGCTTCAGGTTAGTCCCTTTATTCATCAGGGGTCGCCACAGCGGAATGAACCGCCAACTATTCCAGTATATGTTTTACCTAGCGGATGCTCTTTCAGCTGTAACCCAATACTGGGAAACACCCATACACACTTAATCACACACACACACACACACACACACACACACACACACACACACACACACACACACACACACACACACACTACGACCAATTTAGTTTATCAATTCCCTTATATATTCTAAAAATATTGTTTAGACAAAACAGTAAAAATAAACGCAAGAGTTTGCATTAATATATTCAAGTTACGACAACATCTGACAAAATGAGGTTCAGACAACAAACTTTATTATGTACGCCAAATCTTTTCCTCCTCAATCAGAGGCATTTTTACATAGCAAAAACTGAGATTTTTAAGTCGAGTACTCAAAATAAGTTTTTTAAATTAAAATTGGAAACAAATGCAGTGTTATGTACTTAATTACATGCAAGTTTTCAAGTTCAGAACCTCAAATAAATTAAAGTAGCTGAAATTGTTGAGTTTTTTTTTGTTTTCAAATTTACTGTTTATGCTTGTAAGAAATACATTTAACAACAACAATTTTGTTTTACTGGTAATCTTTTATTTGTATTAATAAGTATTAAAAATGTAATTTGTATTAAAAAGTTCTGTCTCATATTATCAGTATAAAAATAACAAAAAAAATCAGTGTGTGGGCTTAAAAATACAAAACAACTCCAATAGTGTGTAAAAACTTGAGTTATCAACCCAATTTCGTTGGGTTGCTACAAGTTAAATATTTTTTTTTAAGTACCTGACAGATATATTTACCTTGAAATTAGCCGCATTTTTAAATTGATTTAATTATCAATATTTACCTGTTTCGAAAACTTAATAAAGTTATTCTGGCTACTTAAAAGTTTTAATCTAATCAGCATATTAGAATTTTTAAATTACAATAGTGTATAAAACTATGTAGTGGTATTAGACCTCTTGAGTTATTTTTTAGAGTGGCATGTGTTTGGACTGTGGGGGGAACCGGAGCACCAGGACAAAACCCACGCCAACACGGGGAGAACATGCAAACTCCACACAGAAACACCAACTGAGCCAGCCAGGACTCAAAGCAGCAACCTTCTTGCTGTGAGGCCACAGTGCTAACCACTGAGCCACCATGTCGCACTATTTTAGTGGTTTTCAACACAACCATCTGCAGTTCTTAAATCAAGATGCAGTTCATTTAAATGCTAATTAACATAAGATCTCAAGTCTGGTTTTTATTCAAATGAAGAGAGTTTATTCTTAAAATGAGAAAGAGAGTCTGTCAGTGCATGAGGACAGAAAAATAAACCTGTTTTCCCTTTCAATTAAACAGCTTTGTCTGACCTCACAGTCCTTCTCTCACTCTCTCTCTCCCCCCCTCTTCTAAAGCTTTTAAAAACATTTCATCTTGTGTCATGTAAATGCATAACAATGTTTATAGCAAATAACATAATACTCAAAAACAGCATTAGAAATGCTCAAGGAACAAAATCACTTCACGCATATCCAGTACACAGCAAATCACATATTGCAAATGCTTTTCTTGCTTAGTTCTCGCCTTGTTTCTAGTCCAAGTGTCTAAAAAAAATCTTAAATCAAGAAACATTTTTTAGACAAGCAACAAATATTGTCTTGTTTTCAGATATAATGAGTCAAAATGAAGTGAGTTTTTCCTTAAAATATGCAAATTAACTTGCCAATAAGCAGAATAATCTTATGTCAAAGGGAAAAACAAGATTATTTTATTTAATTATTTATGTTTATGCTGTGTTGTCGGTCTTAAACGTGCTAATATTTACACTTACAGCAAAAAGCAAAGAGTTAAAAGTCATTTAATCTCCCTAGAAACTTCAGATTTCTTTGATGAATTATTAATATCTGTATAATTTTATTCTCTAGAGTCGGGTTGCCCAAACCTTTTGTATGATGGGCCAAAAACCAAATATCATTTAGATGATAATTATACCGAGCTAAATTACGTTAAAGTTGCCATGGGTAATTTCCTAATATATTCATTCATTCATTCATTCATTTTCTTGTCAGCTTAGTCTCTTTATTAATCCGGGGTTGCCACAGCGGAATGAACCGCCAACTTATCCAGCAAGTTTTTACGCAGCGGATGCCCTTCCAGCCGCAAACCATCTCTGGGGAACATCCACACACACACTACGGACAATTTAGCTTACCCAAATCACCTGTACCACATGTGTTTGGACTGTGGGGGAAACTGGAGCACCTGAAGGAAACCCACGCGAAGGCAGGGAGAACATGCAAACTCCACACAGAAATGCCAACTGAGCTGAGGTTCGAACCAGTGACCCAGCGACCTTCTTGCTGTGAGGCGACAGCACTACCTACTGCGCTACTGCCTCGCCCTTTCCTAATTTATTTCAAAATATGACTTTAAATTGTATTAACTAATGCACTATTATTATTAAATTACAGCTTACTGCATAAGCATCAACAATCACATGTGTAACACAGTGGAGATCAATGCTGAAAGCAGACTCTGCGTTTGACTTGATTTGCTCGCCAAAGTCTCTGCATTGTCAGGTGACAGTGTGTACATTTAAATAAAATCTGATTAATTCACACCGTTTAATTGAAACATTTAATTTCTCTTAGCGTTTAACAATAAAACAAACATAAAAAAAAGATTACATTAAATTTGAATTGACAATCTCAAAATCCTCCCCATCATTCCTCTTCTCTTCTCAGATGAGATGGCGGGCCAAATCATAGGTTACCATGGGCCACCTTTTGCCCACGAGCCCTAGTTTGGGCATCTCTGCTCTGGAGGAACAGCATCAGAGTCTGTGAGGTTGTAATAACTCTCCCCAAACCCCTTCCCCAACTTTCTGAATGAAATGCAGATTTTCTTTTTGGCTAAGTCCCTTTATTAATCCAGGGTCGCCACAGCGGAATGAACCGCCAACTTATCCAGCACGTTTTTACGCAGCCTATCTCTGGGAAACATCCACACACACACAAACACACACTCATACACTATGGACAATTTAGCCTACCTCTACCACATGTCTTTGGACTGTGGGGGAAACCGGAGCACCCAGAGGAAACCCACGCAAGCGCAGGGAGAACATGCAAACTCCACACAGAAACACCAACTGAGCCGAGGCTCAAACCAGCGACCTTCTTGCTGTGAGGCGACAGCACTACCTACTGCGCCACTGCGTCGCCTATGAAATGCTTAATTTAATATAATGCATATCTAATTTGCTACATCCAATCAGATCGCAGTAGAAAAACGCCCACTGTTTACTCATTTAACATGGTAACCCTTTATTTTGATGCTCCATTTGAGTATTAAAATGACTCTGCTCCTTCAACAGACGTTTACAGTGTCTTAAGTGATGCTCAACACACACAAATCTGTTAAAACCTCAAAAAACAAAAGTACTCCAGGGTTTTGTGAGGGCTTTTTGATGTGTTATTTTCACCATGATGGCATCGAAGTCAAAATAGGACAAATGATCTAATGTATGGGACAAATTCTGCACCTTTGTCAGTAAGGGGTGGGTCTTCCGAACCACCCAAACCCACCCTGGCTCTGAATCCTAACCCTAACCCTAACTCTTACCCCAACCCAACAGTCTACTTATAATGAGAATTAGTTGGCATCAAGTTTGGCACAAGCCTGCGTTTGAGTGAAGGTCTCGGCCGTTAGATCGCCCCCTGGGGGCTGGCTGCAGTACAAGTCATAAAGCCCGCCTCCTCCGTGTTAATGAAGGAGACTTGAGCCCAAATAAAAAAAATGATTACACTTGCAATAAAATGTCCCGAAAGATGGTTCTGGTGGATTAAGGCACTGGTTATTGTGCTGAAATAGGTGCAGATCCTCATTTTTGTAAACAGTTTGTTTTTAGCAGTAATTTAATGCTGGGCGTGTCATCGTGATTGACAGCTGTGATTGACAGTTTCTCAAAGCAGCGCGTCTGAGCTTCGGCAGGAGACTGAAGTGTTATAATTCGATTTCTTTGTTATTTTACCATGACAAAATGAGTTCAGCAGTAAACTACAGTTTCTGACATACATGATCCTGGTGGAACACTGTTTATTCGCTAAGGTCAGGGCATTTTTCGGGCTTTATTAGTTTGCTGATACACGCCTAACCACCCAGATTTTTTACAGTCATTGGTTGGCATGTAGATGCAACATAACGTAAATCCAACAATCAGACCATCAAAATAAAGCGTGACCTTTAATATTTAAGACTTTATTTATTTATATTTAAGATTAAACCTCATCTTGCATAAGCAGATGCAGAACTCCTTATATAACGCTGGTGTATGTGAGCAGCGTGTGATTGACAGAAATGAGCCGGCGCAGGTTTAATTAAGAGCGGAGGGCCGCGGGCGCAGTAATTCAGGCTTTCCCTCTGTCAGATGTGCTGAGTCACCATCATTCCCCTTCGCTGGATAATACTGAGCTCAATGTCACAAAGGCGGAAACGCTCCGCAATCAACAGATCCTGGATATGATGGTGTCCTCGACTCGCTCCGACACGCAGCACCTTCTGCAGTCACCGCTAATCTCTCAAATTTGCCGTAATTCCCTGCGTGCAATTAAGCAGGATGAAACCAATCTGCAAGCGTGAACGTGTGGGACGAGGAGGAGCGGATTGGAACTTGGCTGACATCACCAGCTCTAATTATGGTGCACAAGTGAGGATACTGAGTGTGTGTGTGTGTGTGTGTGTGTGTGTGTGTCACTAGTGTTGGAAAGATTAGCTGGGCATTATCCTCACTCACAGCGTCTCAGAGACACAATGAATCGGCCTTCTTCCAATCACAAACACTTCGTGCTCTTTACACTTCATCGCCTGGACGGCTTTTGTGCTTAATAGTAATCAGTAATATATATTA